AGATCCTTCTTCCTCTGACCTGGCAGGATTCTGGAATTCAGAGCATTTCCCCAAAAGACACAAAGCAGACATTCTGGGATGTGACTCTGGAAACCGTTTGGAATTCTTTCTGTCAGTTAGCTTTCCCATTGCCCTGGGCTCTGGACATGAAATGATGTTGGAGGGGCTGTCCTTACTAAGGAAAGGGAATGAGGTTCCTGGCACTGGAGGTATGCAAGTGCATACTTAGCACAACTTAATGGGGACCTCAAGCACCAGAGAGGACATTTGTCTCTGCAGTTCTTTCTAACCCTGGGAGCTGGGTGCTCTGGGTCTCAATAAGGAATAGGGCAGGGGCAGGGGCACAGGCAGGTCTGGATAGGGTGGTGAGATGAGTGATCCCTGCCCTAAAGGAACTCACAGTCGATCAAAGAAGTGGTCTGAGAAGTGCTGGGAGGAATCTATGGGAGATACTCAAACTCAGCGGGGAGGGCATGCTTCTCAGGGAGGGGCTCACCCTTGATCAGAGCTGCAAAGGAAGAGCAGATACTACTGGGTCAGGGAAGGGCAGGCAAGGGCATTCCAGGCAGGGGTAGCCACTCATTGAGAAGTGTCTCTGTTGGTAGGACTTCACTTCTGGGCATTAGTGGAGTAAAGCTGGGGGTGTTGGGGTATCAGTGGTTGGAGGCAGGCCAGAGGGGCAGCGGGGACCAGGTCATGCACCATCTGGAATGCTAAGCTGGGGAGTTTGAACTTGATCCTGAGAGCCACAGTGAGTCAGCAAAGCTTCAGGCAGGAGGGAGGTGGGCAGAACTATGTTCCACAGAGCTCCTTGTTGCAGAGTGGAGACAATGGCCTGCCAGAGCAGGTGGGACAAGTGAGAAGGTGGCAGTGGGACAAGGGCAAGAGAGGGTGTTATGGAGGGGGGGTGAAGTAAGAGGTGGGCAGGGCTTTATTTTGTCTCTTGCTGAATCCTGACACCTAACAGCACTGGGACCTTCTTAAGAACTGTTTGGGGAACAAATGTTTTCACATAAAGAGAAATCAGGCATCAGGAGGAAGGGGGAGTGCTCCAGGTCTTCAGAAATGATTGGATGGAGAAATTACTGCTAACAAAGACAACAACAAGGAGTAGGGATGGAGCAGGGCTAAAAGGATGACGAAAGCTAATTATAAAGATATTTATTACAACCTTGTCATGAATGATGTTAGATGTGAAGGAAATGATCCAAATGTCCCACTACAGGGGATGCTAATTGAGCGACAACATGTACCAAGGGCAGCTGTTGGAAGAATGGATAAGGTAGGTAGCTGTGAGTTGGGATAAAATGATGCTCCTGATAGTTCAAATGACAAAGGGCAAAATATAGACTGGCATGTGTCATACGAGGGGCATGTGGACCTGCAGATGGGAGAAGCCTGAAGGGTTGGGGTGAAGATAGGATTTGTTGCAAAGCTAATGACAGCTGGAGCCACAAGCAAGGATGACATCACCGGAGATGACCAAATGCAGGGATCACAGCCATGCTGAGAGACAGGTGCAGGGGCAGCCTGGAGGGGGGGTGGCACACCCAGGATACCCCAGGAGAGGCATCTTAGCCTCCCAACCCCTGGGGTCAACTCCTGTCACCTAATCCAGTGGTAGTGCACTAATTCTAGATTCTGGGATTCTCAGATCCTGCAAATTCCACATAGCACCCCAGGGCCCTGCCCTTTCCAGGAGCTCCGCTTTGTTGCCAAACTGTCTAATGACCTCATGGTGTGCTCCCTACCCCTGTCTGCCACTCCTTAAATTTTTCTCACGCAAGCTGGGATAGTTTTTCTCTTTAGGGAACCCAGGTGTCCTGCCCCTTCCACTGGGGAAAGTCTGGGAATGAAAATAGTTCAGGGAGGGAGGAGGGCCAGAGTGCCTTACAAGGCTGGGCTGGGCAGCTGCTGCCCATGTGCCCCTCTCAGGCTCCCCCAAGGTGCTGTTTCAGCACAAAGTGCCCATCTGGCTGGAGCATCAAGTTACTGTGTAAGAGGACCTGGGGCTCCCCTCCTCCCTGACCCTGTGGCCTTTTCAGCAGACTCAGGGCCCCGAAGCAGAAGTATCTTGGAAAAGAGTGAGGGTGGCACTAGGATTGAGACCTTTGGATTGAGGGCTCCTGCTTTCTGACAGTATATGATTCTGGGGCTGTCTCTGCCTCTGAGCCTCAGTTTCCTCAACTGTCGAGTTAGGTAGACTGACTGTGGACTCACCCTGAAAAGAATATAGAGGAGAAATGGGCTTTGAGATAGTCCCCTGCTCCCACACTCCCAAGTCCCACAGCGTCCAGCGTATCTCCTTCAGGGTGGGGTCTTAGAATATGTAACTAGACAGAAGGGTGGGCATGGAGAGAGATTATTCTTCTTGAACCCCAACCCCTCAGATTTAATCTTCTACACTTTGCCCATTCGTTTTTTTGCCAGCAGAAGTGGGGCAGTAGGCCCAGAGGAATAAGCCTAGGATTGGGGAGACCCCAGCATAGTCCTTGACATCCTAGACCCTCATGAGGGGTCTCAGCCTGCTTTTCCAGCCCTAGGGGCCAGCAGAGGGCTGGTGGGCAGAGCCTGGGCTGGGCCGTGGCAGACGGATTAAAAGTCAGGCTGTGCCCCTGCTCTGCCGAGATGCTCAGGCGAGATGCTCAGGACACACGGCCTGGCCTCCTAGGCCTCAGTTTTGACGTTGGGAAATGGGTGATCACTCACTTTCCGCTGCTGTTTCTCCCAGGCCGGGTCCAGCAGAAGGTCTCGGTCCCAGTCTTCCTCCTGTTCCATGTACTCGCCGCCCCCGCCGCTCGCGAAGGGCCCCTCCCTGGCCCCCAGACCCTCGGGCTGCATAACCATCATCATCATCGCGCTCTGGCTCCTGGCTCTGCTCCGATCGGCGCGCTCCAGTACACCCCGGCCGGGTTAAGTAGGGCCCGGCCCAGCCCCAGATCGGATTCACACTAAATATGGGGGAAGAGGGTGGGGCCGGACAGGGGCTAGGGCGTTCAGGTCGGGATCAGACTAGAGGTTGCACTGGAGCCAGTGGTTGCGGGATTGGGAGACGCTGGGATGGTTCTTCTGGCGGAGATCCGGAGTTCGCGCTCCAGCTCCACCGCTTGGGCGCTGTGTGACCTTAGGGAAGTGATAGGCCCTCTCTGTTTCTTCATCTGTAAAACTGAGGTGAAAACACTGGCAGTGATTGCAGACTGCCCTAAAGGCTGCCTCCTGGCCTTCTCCTGAGGTTCTAACAGTGCCCCGCGGACGGGAAAGGGAGCCCCATCCCCATTTCAGTCAGAAACACGTTTTAATGTTTTCTCGGGTGATGAAGGGAGATACCGGAGCATAGGGAGTATCTCTGAGCCAGCTGGATGATCTTAGTCAGGGCTATTAATATCGGGGTGGCTGTAGGGAGGTGGCGGAGAATGTGCTGAGCCGGGAAACCCCAACGCCACAGAGGCTGCAACCCAATCTTCTGGCCAGCCAGCCTCGCGGGTGAGTAGGGCTTCCGCTGGAGGGTGCGGAGCCTGCGTTGTGGGCGAGGCGGTGACTTACTCTGTCACCCGGACTCTAGCACCAATCGGATTTTGAGTACCTCCTGGTTTGTTCAATCGACCAATCATCTCTCGTCATCTACGACCCTTCCCTTTGAATCTAGCGCGCACCTCACCCTTTCGAAATTTCTATTGGTCGTTGAGGATGTTCGTCTGCCGCCATCCCCGCCCAAATACGGAAGCGGCGGGGTCCTAGATCTCTAGGAGCGGGTGGGTCCAGACCATGGGGCAGCCGTGGGCTTCAGGGAACGCGGAGGGGCCGTCCACGCAGCTGCCTCTGGTGCTCACGACGCTGTGGGCCGCCGCGGTGGTTCTGGAGCTGACTTACGTTTTGGTGCTAGGTCCCGGGCCGCCCCCGCTGGGACCCCTAGCCCAGGCCTTGCAGATCGTGCTAGCCGTCTTCCAGCTACTTAACCTGCTGGGCAACGTGGGGCTGTTCCTGCGCTCGGACCCCAGCATCCGGGGCTTGATGCTGGCCGGCCGCGGCTTGGGCCAGGGCTGGGCGTGAGTGGGGCGCGGGGTCCGGGGGCAGAAGCGGGAATATGAGGCGGGGAGGGGCACCAGACTCGAGATGTTAGAACCAGATTGGTTTGTTAGGTCCAGCAAATTTGGGATAGAGCAAGAATGAGTATTATTTTTTCACTCAAATATTTATTGAGCACCTCCTATGGGAAGAATACTGTTTCAGGGACTGGGGGTCCAATGAAACAGACTCTCCACCACTTGGAATAGGTCTCAGTGGTGGTGGGGGACAGCAAATAAACTATAGTCCTGATAAGTATGCAAGTTATGTCAGACAATATATGTTGCGGGAACAAAAGTTAGAGCGGGGCTATCTGGTCCATTTAGCGAGATCTTGTCTCAAAATACAATTTAAAAAGAGCTAGAAGCCAGGTGAAGTGCACTCCTGTAATCGTGGCACTTTGGGAGGCTGAGGCAGGAGAATAGCAAGGGCCTAGTCTATGTAGTGATTTAATAAGACCCTGTCTCAAAAATAAAAAAGAACTGGGATGTAGCTCAGTACCAAGGCCCTGGGTTCAGTCCCCAGTACAAAAGAGGCTGGGGGGTTGGGGTGGACTGGAGATGTAGCTCATTGCTTTCTGGGATCCATCTCCAGTGCATAAAAAAAATAAATCAGCTAAAAGGAATTCAGGTTTCTGTTTCAAATAGATAGTCCTCACTACCAGCAATAAGAGTTTGAGGTGATGGATTTGTTAATCACATTGATTTAATTATTTTGCATTATATTAAAAAATTATAGTGTGAACATTGCAATTAAAAATGAAGGCTGGGGCCAGAGATGTAGCTCAGTGGTGCCACGCCTGCCTGGCAAGTGCAAGGCCCTGAGTTTGATTCCTGGTACCACAAAAAATAGAAAGAAAGGAAGGAAGAAAGGCTGGGTATGGTGGTACATGCCTGTAATCCCAGTACTTGGGAGGCTGAGGCAGGAGGATCACCTCAAGTTCAAGGTCAGCATAGGCTACATAATAAATAGTGAGATCAAGGCCAGCCTGGATTACATAGACCCTCTCTCACCACCACCCCCATAAAATAAATAAGTAGTCAAGGGGGACCTCATTGAGGCATTTGAGCAATAACTTGGAGATGACTTAGCTTTGTGGGAATTTGAGGGCAGAATGTCCCAGGCAGAGGGGCCAGACCATCAAAGGCTCTGAGGCAGCTGTGAGCCTACCATGTTCCCAGAACAGCAAGAGGGCCAGACTGATTGGGATGGAGTGAGAGAGAACAAGGGATGTTAGATCATAGGACCTTGTACTACATTGAAGGCTTTGCTTTTTACTGGAAAGGAAATGGACAGCCACTGGAGGGTTCTGAGCCGAGGAAGGACATAAGTGAAGCTTTAGAAGGCCCAGTCTGGCTTCTGGGGTGAGATTATGCTTGGAGTAGACAGAGGGTCAAGAGGCTACTGTAATAAAGGCAAGGGACAGTTCATGGTAACTTGGACCAGCGTGGAAGTAAGAAGTTTGGGCATTAGAGGACGGAGAAAGGCCTCAGGACTGGGAATGTCAGAGCTAGCAGCCATCCCAGACCTGCAGCCCATGCCCTGGCGAGTCTGGGGAATCTTAGCCTGCATTTTTCTGCAGGGAACCTGAGGCTAGCCAGGTTAGGTGGCTGTCCTGCTTCCCCAGGATGGGTGCAGGGGCTTACAGTGGGTGGGATCTGGGGCACTCAAAGCTGCTGGCCCTGACCCTGTGGCTCCTTTGCTGCAGCTTCTGCTACCAGTGCCAGAGCCAGGTGCCACCACGTAGTGGGCATTGCTCTGCCTGCCGCGTCTGCATCCTGCGTCGAGATCACCACTGCCGCCTCTTGGGTCGCTGTGTGGGCTTTCACAACTACCGGCACTTCCTGTGCCTGCTGCTCCATGCCACCGGTGTCCTGCTCCACGTCTCTGTGCTTCTGGGCCCCGCCCTGTCTGCCCTGCTGCAGTCCCACACGCCCCTCCACACTGCTGCCCTCCTCCTGCTACCCTGGCTCATGCTGCTCACAGGTAGGGACCCCGGGTGGCCTGCACTGGGCCAGGGAATAAAGCCCCTTCTAATAGGAGGTGGGGTTTCTAGCTAGTTCTCTTGGAACTACCCTGGGAACCAGTCCTATGCCATTTTGTGGGGCTAAGGGCAGTCTGGTGGGTGTGCAGCACTGTACTTCAATATACTCCATCTCTAGGCAAGAGTCAAGTTTTGTCTGGGGGAGGAAGGAAAGATTACAGGATGTTTTGGCAGAGGAGGAAATAGCAGTAGGGGAACCTGGGGGTGGTCGGTGGTAGGAAAGCATTGTTAGAGAAAGTGGACACGCTGGGAGCAGCTGCATGAACAAAGGCCCAAAAAGGAGCAAAGGCAAGTGGGTGGGAATTGGGAGAATAAAGGCTGGGACAGTAGTTTAGGATTGGATGGTAGAAGACCTTGAATGCTGGTGTAGTGGCTCTGCTTCCACTGGGCAGTGGGGAGCCAGTGAATGTTCTGGGCAGGGAGGTGCCCAGCCACTGGGATTTGGGAGGGAAAGACAGGACAGGGGGCTAAGATGTGGTGTTCTGAATACTTTCTCCTTCTACACTCCCATGATAATATTTCCAAAGATCTTTTTACTCTTTGTTCTCTGCCTGCCAGGATTCGTGGGCTTTCTCTTGAGTTCTTCCTCCCCAACTCTGACAGGTCTCTGTGCCTCCTGATCCTATCCCAGCCC